TTGGCACTAGGGACATGACGATGGGGACGTTGTGATGATGACCTTGTCATGGGGACATTGTGATAGGGACCTGGCACCAGGGATGTTGTGATGGGGATGTTTTGATAATGACCTTGTCAAGGAGACGTCTCAACGATGATCTTGTCATGGGGACATCTCAGTGAGGACATTGTGATGGGGATGTTGTGATGAGGACCCTGGCACCGGGAGTTGGCACTTGGGGACATGGCAATGGGGACATCTCAATGAGGACATTGTGACGGGGATGTTTTGATGACACCTGGCAGCAGGGACGTGGCGATGGGGACATTGTAACGACGACCTTGTCATGGGGACATCTCAGTGAGGACATTATCACGGGGACATTGTCATGGGTATGTTGTGATGGGGGCACTGTGATGGGGACACTGTGATGGGGACATTGTGATGGGGACTCTGTGATGGGGACACTGTGATGGGGACACTGTGATGGGGACCTTGCACCAGAGACATGGCAATGGGGACTTCAGAGCGAGGATCTTGTGTGGGGACACTGGACAGGAACTTGCACGGGGATGTTGTGTGGGGACATCGTCACTGGCACCTGGCACAGGGGACTTGGCCACAAGGACCTCGTCGCAACAAGGACTTGGCGATGGGGACATTGGTGTGAGGACGCTGTGATGGGGGCCTTGCACAAGGGACTTGGCACAAGGGAGCTGGCACCAGGACATTGTCACCGGGATGTCACTGCGGGGTCTGGCACCAGACCTTATGTGGGGAMGTTGTGGTGGGGACATTGTGGTGGGGACGTCACCATGGGGACATTGCTGTGAGGTCTTGCACCAGACCTTATTTGGGGATATTGTGGTGGGGACATCACTGTGGGGACATTGTGGTGGGGACGTCGTGGTGGGGATGTCACCATGAGGACATCACCATGGGGACATTTCTGTGAGGTCTTGCACCAGACCTTATTTGGGGACATCATGGTGGGGACATCACCACAGGGATGTCACGATGGGGACATTGCACCAGAGACCTCATCATGGGGTCTTGCGCATGGGGACTTTGGGGACATTGCGAGGGGGTCCCAGATCAGTGGGTTGGGGGTTTTTGGGGGATCCTGGGGGTGTCCCAGGTGTGTGGGGTGGGGGTCCTGCTGACCCTCACTGACCTTTCGCCGCTTGCTGGATCTCGCCGGCGCCGCGGCCGGGCCCCCCCTCGGCGACCTCGGCGGGCCCTGGGGGAGGGGCGCGTCAGGGCGGGGCTCAGGTGAGCTCAGGTGTGCGACCCCCGGGCCGAGGGGGCGGGCCCAATTGGGGGGTGGGCTCACACCCCCCTCCCATCCCCCACCCCGGTGTTGGTCCTCGTGTAAGGACCCCCCCC